AATGTGATGTTTATTTGACATTGTTCATTTGCTTATAATTTGATAAGAGACCCAATAAAATGTAGCACATAATTTATTTTTAAAATGTGGGAAGCGTATTTTGAAAGAATAATTTGTGAGAAAAATGTGATGTTTATTTGAAATTGTTCATTTGCTTATAATTTGATAAGAGACAAAATAAAATGTAGCAGATAATTTATGTTTAAAATGTGGGAAGCGTATTTTGAAAGAATAATTTGTGAGAAAAATGTGATGTTTATTTGAAATTGTTCATTTGCTTATAATTTGATAAGAGACAAAATAAAATGTAGCAGATAATTTATGTTTAAAATGTGGGAAGCGTATTTTGAAAGAATAATTTGTGAGAAAAATGTGATGTTTATTTGAAATTGTTCATTTGCTTATAATTTGATAAGAGACAAAATAAAATGTAGCAGATAATTTATGTTTAAAATGTGGGAAGCGTATTTTGAAAGAATAATTTGTGAGAAAAATGTGATGTTTATTTGAAATTGTTCATTTGCTTATAATTTGATAAGAGACAAAATAAAATGTAGCACATAATTTATTTTTAAAATGTGGGAAGCGTATTTTGAAAGAATAATTGGTGAGAAAAATGTGATGTTTATTTGAAATTGTTGTGTGAATAGTTTTTGAAAAAATGAAATTGCCAAAATTAGCTATACATCACCATAGAATTGTCCCCTGATGCATGTGATTTAGGAGTACACGTTATTCCGTGTAAATTGAAGTTCATATATATATATATATATATATATATATATATATATATATATATATATATATATATATATACACACATACACACATACAACATAAATCGTACGGATCGAAATGTAGTTACTATTTTCGAAAAAAAAATCCAGTTCCCTTACAAAATATTTGGACAAATAGAGAGTCGATTTTTCTTTCTTTCTGAAATTGGAAGAATATTTTGTGTTCCAAAAAAAATTGTCAGATCGAAATCGGTAAAATACCTCAAATTATATTCCATTTTTTCGTTCGAGTGTAATAAAAAATACATATAATTGATATTATTATAATGTAATTTTCAGGAATAAATGGGGTTTCATATATATTATTTCCTATTTCCGATTAAAAGAAAATTGAAAATCAGATTAAGAATCAAATCATGATGAAATTGATGATATGTCCTTTATTTGAAAAACAAATTTGTTTAAGAATCAATTGATTAGCTTCAATCAATAATGGATTGCTTTTTGGATCCAGAAATTGATTAAAAAGAAAAGAAAAAAAGAAATAGGAAAGTTACAGTTTTCATCCCCAGAGTTTGCATCTACTTTATATTTGATCTCTTATGTTCACAAAAAAACATATTTGGTCCCGCATGTTTCAATAATTTAACAATTTTGGTCATTTTCGTCAATTATTTATTTTTAATATTTTTTTGGTACCAATTTTCAACAATTATATCTCCTATTTTTCATTAATATATCTCAAATCTTAATAGATAAAGATTGAAATTCGATTTGTTAAATCTAAACCTATATATTTGGATTATAAATCTTAATATGTAAGATTAAAAAAAAAAAAACTAATACTATATAAAATATAAATAATACTACATTATTAAATTTTACTATCTTAATGTACTATATTTTCTTATTATGTATTAAATTGATTTTTCTTTTACTTTTGAAATAATTCCCGTGCATCGCACAGGGAAAAAATGCTAGTTGTCTCTAAATTAAAGTACATAAATATTGTTCATTTGTTATTAATATAATTAATTAATTAACAGGTGAGAGAAGAATATTCTGAGAGGATTCGAGTGTTGAAGAATGAAGTTTTGACTATGCTGAAAGCTAAGGAGACTAAAATTTTCGACGGTCTGAATCTGATCGACACGATCGAACGCTTAGGCATTTCGTACCACTTCGAAGATGAGATTGAAGAAAAATTGCAACAATATTTCAATATGGATA